AACACTCTCCAGCCACCTCGCCCAAACTTCAACCAGCAGCAATCCCGTCCAAACTTCATGCAACAACAACCTCGTCCCAATTTCATCCCTCGTCCCAATTACCAACAACAACAGCAACCACAACAGCAAGCCCAAGAGTCCGGTTCGAGCTCGTCGAACCAAGATGACAAGCTAGACAAGATCCTTCAGTTCATCACCAACCAGGACTCATCCATTAAGCGTCTTGAGACGCAAGTAGGCCAACTTGCCACGAGAGTTGGCAATATGGAGGCGGAGTCAGACAAGGGGAAACTTTCGAGCCAACCCAAACAAGCAAAAGCGATCACTGTGTTGAGGAGTGGGAAAGAAGTGGACAACAAGGTGAGGATGCACGAGCCTGACGACCCCAAACCAACCGACCAGCCTAAGGAAACCGAGGAGGGCAGGAAAAGCATAGAAGCCGACTCAGTAAAACCGCCAGAGAGTCCCTCACTTCACAAGTCTCCAAACCCTTACAAGCCACGCATCCCTTTTCCAAGCCGACTTCGAGATGAGAAACAAGAGCAACAATTCCGGGACCTATACAACATGCTCTCAAAGGTCAACGTCAACTTACCTCTCCTGAATGTGATCAAGAACATGCCTTCTTACGTGAAGTTCTTCAAGGATTTGGTCACGAAGAAGAGGAAATTTGGAGATGGGGAGAAAGTGGTGGTTTATGAGGCAGCGAGTGCCATGCAGCATGATCTCCCAAAGAAAGAACGGGACCCCGGGGGTTTCGTGATACGAATTGCTCTCGGGAACAGAAAAGAGGCTTCGGGGATGCTTGACCTCGGAGCGGGAATCAACCTCATCCCATTCTCTATCTTCCAGAGGCTCGGTCTCGGAGACTTGAGACCTACTAGGATGTGCTTACAGCTGGCCGACCGCTCAATTCGATACCCTAAAGGGGTGGTGGAAGATGTCCTTGTTCGTATAGGGAGACTTATTGTCCCGGTGGACTTCGTGGTTCTAGACGTGGGGGACGTTCAGGAGAATGGGAAGGATCACACCATCCTTCTTGGTAGACCGTTTATGGCAACCACCAACACCCTTATTGACGTTAGGAACGGGACCTTGAACATGACTGTCTTAGGCGAATCCGTATCTATCTCAGTCCGAGAAGCTACCTCAGCATCCTCGGTTAACTTTGTGGAGGAGTGTGCATTTGTTGACGTAAGCGATCCGTTTGTCGAGGAAATGACCATTCGAGACTTAGAGGAGAGGACAATGCCCGATCTTGAAGAAGAAGAAGGGCCCACCATTGAGCTTTTTGTAGCAGACGAGCCCGACAAACCGAACCCATCCACACTAGAGCTCAAGGAACTACCTCGCCACCTCAAATACGTGTTTCTCGACGATGAGAAGCAAAAGCCGGTCATCATCTTTGCTGAGCTTAACCGGGAAGAGGAGAATGAGCTGATTGAGGTACTTAAGAGGAACCAGAAGGCCATTGGTTGGAGCCTAGGAGACATTAAGGGCATCAGCCCTTCCACATGCATGCATCGAATCATTCTGGAGGAGGGTGCTAGGCCTTTTCGGGACAGCCAACGAAGGCTCAACCCGAATATGATGGAAGTGGTAAAGAAGGAAGTGCTGAAGCTCTATTCCGAAGGGCTTATCTATCCAGTGGCCGACAGCGAGTGGGTGAGTCCCATTCATGTGGTGCCCAAGAAGGGAGGCATTACGGTGATTGAGAATGAGAGAAAGGAGATGGTTCCCACCCGCATTACCACCGGGTGGAGGATGTGCATTGACTACAGGCGACTCAATGCTGTGACCAAGAAGGACCACTTCCCGTTGCCGTTCATTGATCAGATTCTCGACCGACTCTCCGGCCACCAGTTCTATTGCTTCTTGGACGGACTTTCGGGCTACTACCAAGTGGCCATAGCTCCGGAGGATCAACCCAAGACGACTTTCACGTGCCCATTCGGCACGTTTGCCTTCAGACGTATGCCTTTCGGCCTATGCAATGCACCCGGGACTTTCCAACGGTGCATGTTTTCCATCTTCTCTGATATGCTCGAGGACTGCTTGCAGGTATTCATGGATGACTTCTCAATCTTTGGTACCTCTTTTTCTGATTGTTTGCATAACTTAACTCGAGTTCTTGAAAGATGCATTGAGTCGAATTTAACGTTGAGTTGGGAGAAAAGTCACTTTATGGTGACTAGTGGAGTCGTGCTTGGTCATGTAGTGTCAAGTCGGGGGATTGAGGTTGATAAAGCAAAAGTGAATGTTATTGAAAAACTTCCCCCGCCTGTGAATGTAAAAGGTGTTAGGAGTTTCTTAGGGCATGCTGGCTTTTATAAACGATTTATTAAGGACTTTTCAAAAATTAGTCAGCCTTTGTGTCACTTGCTTGCTAATGATGTGCCTTTCGTATTTGATCATGCATGTGTAGATGCCTTTGATAAGTTAAAAAATAAGCTTGTGACTGCACCCATTGTGATTGCACCTGATTGGTCCTTACCTTTCGAAATTATGTGTGATGCATCAAACCTTGCTGTGGGGGCCGTTTTGGGCCGACGAGTTGATAAATTGCTTCGTGTGATTTATTATGCTAGTTTGACTCTCAATGGTGCCCAATTGAATTATACTACCACTGAGAAAGAACTCTTGGCTGTTGTGTTTTCTCTTGAAAAATTTAGGTCTTATATCTTAGGATCTAAAGTTATTGTGCATTCAGACCATGCAGCCCTTAGGTATCTTTTGAGTAAAACTCAATCGAAACCTAGGCTTATTCGGTGGATTCTTCTTTTACAAGAGTTTGATGTAGAGATTAGAGATAGAAAAGGGTGTGAAAATGTTGTTGCTGATCACTTGTCTCGTATTGTCCCTTCTGAACCTTCTCTTGCATTGCATGAACATGCTGGTATAAATGATGACTTTCCATATGAGCATGCGAGCGAAGTGTCTAGTGTCCCTTGGTATGCTCATATTGTCAACTATTTGTCAGATGGTGTTTTGTTGGCTAACCTCTCTTCCCGAGAGAGGAAACGGTTTGTGTTGATGTGCAGGAGCTATTTTTGGGACGACCCATTCCTTTTCAAGATGGGAAAAGATGAAATCCTTCGGAGGTGTGTACCCGAGGACGAACAAGCAGATGTTCTCGCTTTTTGCCACGAGTTCAATTGTGGAGGACATTTTGGAGGTCGCAAGACCGCCTTAAAGGTTCTCCAATCAGGTTTATTCTGGCCAACCCTTTTTAAGGATGCTCATAATTTTGTAAATCGTGTGACCGATGTCAAAGAATTGGGAACATTGGTTCTAGAAATGAAATGCCCCTTGTGAACAATTTGCAAGTTGAGATTTTTGATGTTTGGGGCATTGATTTCATGGGACCGTTTCCAAAATCTTTTGGTTTCGAATATATCCTCCTTGCTGTAGATTACGTGTCCAAGTGGGTCGAGGCTATCCCCACACGGACATGTGATGCTAATGTGGTTATTAAGTTTTTGCGAGGAAATATCTTGAGCAGGTTTGGATTTCCATGTGCCATTGTGAGCGATGGAGGCAAACACTTCTGCAACCGGATTTTTGAGAAGTTGATGAAGAAATACGGAATTTCGTATAAGGTGGCCACCCCATACCATCCGCAGACGTCGGGGCAAGCAGAAACGAGCAACAAGAAGATTAAGACTATTCTTGAGAAGACGGTGAATTCGTCTAGGAAGGATTGGTCGAGCAGGCTCGATGATGCACTCTAGGCCCAAAGGACGGCATACAAGGGAGTATTGGGGATGAGCCCGTTCCGGCTAGTCTACGGGAAATCATGCCATTTGCCAGTTGAGATCGAACACAAGGCATTCTGGGCAATCAAAAAGATGAATTTCGATCTTGATGCTGCCGGACGAGAAAGGATGATGCAACTCTCGGAATTAGAAGAATGGAGAAACGAAGCCTACGAGAATTCCAAAATC